GTTTTTCGGAACCTTTTTTATATTCTTTCTTTAATTGAGGGGGCTTGGAAGAAGGTTGGGACATTGTTTAAAAAGGTTTTTAAAAGAGTTTATTAAATAGGCTATTGATATTGTTTTTTATATTATTGTTAAATTTTATTGATTATCTATTATTTTCATTTCGAAATTTAACAAGTGTTTTTTAATCTAAAAATTTTATAGTTACTTTTTTGTTGTGATAAAAGACTTTTTTAATTTTTATTGTTAGTAAAGTTAAAGAATTGTTTTTATTATTTACTTGTATATTATCAAATGAAAAATAACTTTGTTATTAATTGTTAATTTTGTTGTTTGTTAATATTATTTTTAATCAATTTAAATAATTGATGTTGGGATAAATAAATTTAGATTATTAAATTATTTTAAAGGGGTGGAAAAACCCCACTTTTGATAATTTTTGGTGAATAATGGTAAAATGTTTTCTAAATGTTATTTGATTTTATTTTTTTATTTAAACAAAAAGAAAAAACATCATTTTCATTTTGCCTGAGCATTTTTTCGAAGTGTTTAGAATAAGGCAGTTAAAGTCTATTTATATTACAATGAAAAGCTGAGTTATTACAGAATTTATTTAAAGAAAATGGGAAACAGCTTACAATAGTAAGACATATAACCAAATATACATAAATTTTTAATTAAATTTTATAATAATATATTAGTGTAGTAAACGCAGTGTTTATTAGTCTTATATCGTTTGAATTAACAAACCAAATTATCATCTTCGCAATCTGCCTCATCATCATCTTCCTTATCTTCAGAGCAATTTGTATCAAGTCTTTTTGTTATTGTTGTTTTTTGTGCTTTGTTTTGTCTTCATAAACACATGAGTTAAAGTCTAAGTTGTCACTGTCGTGGTTTTGATGATGTTAAACATAATAAACAAACTGTTTGACCTTGCAACGAACAAGATAATTTGATATCGTCGCTTTTGGAGATTTCCTTATAAACCCTTATCATTGGTAAAAATAGAACTTACATTTTTTTAAGATCATGTTTGCGATAAAACAATACCAAGTATGTAAATTATGATTATTAGTAAAGTTAGTGCATGATATAATTATTTTGCTTGGATATTGTCAAATAAAAATAATTTTGTTTTTAAATGTTTAATATGTTGTCAATCTATGATTTATATTAAAATTAATGACATTGCGAAAGAAAAAAATCGAATTGTATTAAATAATATATGAACTACTAATTATTATCGTTTAACCATTTATTAAACTAAAATCGTATTAATAAAATTAACTAATTTACTATTAAATAATATTAAAAACCATAATTATCATTTTACTTATGCTCAAATCCGAACAGAATGAACATGAATTGATTCATTTGACACAACGTATCGAAGCCGTGGTTGTCGTTGTGTGTCTCTTTTGAACTATACAAGTGTTAAATGGTTTTCATTACTTTTCAGACCAACTATTTGATCAAATTTTGAAACAAGTTATAGTATAAATTATAATAAATTTATTAATGTTTATAGTTATTTTGTTCTTCTTTATAAAAGTATGTGCTAAAATCCCAAAATATTACATATATTTACTGTAATAAAATGAACAATATTGTCCATCAAATAGTAAGAGAGTTGTTGATTATCATTTTTTATAATTAGTGGATAAAGGTATAAGAACCCCTTTAAGATAAACAACACATCAACTTTCACTTTGGCACCAGGTCTTCTCAATAACGTATTGGGCTGATAACAGTCAATGTCTCCATGATGTTTTCGACATTTTTTATTGAAATGCACTTTTGGGCAAGCATTTTGGCTGGGGGAAAAACCCGCTTCACTACCATTTACTTGTTTTATTGTATAGAAAAATAACCTTTTTGGCATTTTGCCGAGTTTTAAAATAAAAAATAATACGGTGGCGAAAACCCGCTTTAGATCTTTTTTTGTCTTTTCGTAACCAAATTATTATTGTATTATGATGAAAACTTATCCAATAACCAAACATTGCCTTTTTAAATTGTGAAAAAAAATAGTGTGTTTTTTCTCGGCATACAAATATTTTTTAACCAAATGTATTGAATAACATACAAAAACACATAATAAACTTGAATTTATTCACCATACAGAAATTATTGCCGCACTTTCGGATCGTCCACAGTATCCTCCCAGTCTTTTTTGTTATTTTTTTCACGGCGGGAAAAACCGCTTTACTACCATTTACTGATAAAATTACACACAATTATAACCAAAGTTTCAATTTGCCTCAAATAATTGAGGTTTTGGTGAAAAAAAGCTAAAAAACACGAGAAATTCTAACGGACATGTGCAGCGCCCTTTTACCGCTTCTGATAATTTACACAAAATTACCCATCTTACATTGTTTTTATTGACCAATATTAATAAATTGCTTCGTTTATTTTATAAAAAGTTTCAAAAAAGCAAGTACAACGAAATAACGAGTCATTTATTGCCTGCTTGACAGGCACTTGAAAACTGCTGAAAATGGATGCACTCACGTTCAGTTGGTGTTAAGTCCAAAGTGCATTTTTTCAGTTTGGCTTTGAAATGCATTTATGAGCGAATGAGGAATCCAACAAGAGGGGTGTGAAATAAAGGTGCAGTCAGTATTGGCTTGGAGACATTGAAAAGTGGTGTATCAAAAACGTGTGCTAGATTATTTATTTACTATATTGCTCGAGAGGTAATCGATTTGACTGTTAAATATTTGTTTAATGGACGATTAAAAATTGAAAAAAAATATTAAGGAGTGAAAGGGGTGTGAAAAAAAAGGTACACTCGCGGCTAGTGTTTTTGGGTTTTTTATTTCTGCAAAAAAATTGAAAAAATATTTAATAAAAAGTTCATTAATTTTGATAAATTCTGAGTTGTTTTTTGGTTATTTTGGCTTCAACGAACAGTTTCGAAGTCAATCTTTCTTGCTCCTCCTTTTATCATTCGGCAAATCCAGCCTTTACTTTATATAAAAAATAATTCACAAATTTCAATAACAAACATCGGCATCTTGAAAAAGTCAGAGAGACTCTTGTAAACCTTGTTTTTTGAATCAAATCGAAGAAAATGAAAAAAATAAACAATACAAAAAAACTATAATCATATTATCATTTTACTATTAAATTATCAAAATCCGTTTTTTTTCTTGAAGCGGTTTTTTCCACCCCTTAAGACTCCGAAAGAATTGAAATTTCATTGACCAGTGTCGTAGAGGGGGAAGAAAAAGTTGTTGGATACGACTATTCTTAGTTATGCAAACCTCCCAAAATAATTATTTGAAAGGTAAGTCACAATTGAATTCTTAATATTTTAATTATAAAATATTATTCTTTTGTACAATTATGTTTAACTTCAACACAAACATTTAATCAACCCGATTATTTAAGTTTTCAAAAAATTCATTGTAGTATTCTTTATTCATTCGGTTGATTTAATGAGTCACTTTTCGTTCAGTATTAAAAGTAACTCATGCGGTTCATGAATTAAAAAATAATAAATAAATCATTAAAATGTTAGGTATTCAGCAATTGATTGATGATTATTTAACGTATTCAACAACTGGAGATAAAACAATAAAAAAACAAACATTACTTGGACTTGGCTGGGCATTATCAATAGAAACAACTTAAAATGATTAATTAAGAGTTTGATATATAATAGTTTTTTCTATTTTATTTTAAAAACAGTGTGTTTATTAATAGTTGTTCCCTGGTTTTTGAAAATAAACCAACATATCCTCAAAAACCCCGATTATTTGTTTAATTTTTTTCTAACAAGAAAACTTTATATTAAAAATAAAAAAGCTTAATTTGGTTTGGTTCCTGGTTTTTCCTCTATCTGTAAATTAATAATTAAATAATTATTTTAATTACTAAATAACATGGTTTGATTTAAAACATGATTAATACTATAATATTATTTTTTAAAAGATATATTCAAATCAAATTCAATCAACACTTCAAATAACAAAAAAATCAAGTGGTCTGAAAATCGGGGAAATATCGAGTTTATTAACCCTTCCCGTACCAAAAATTTCCAAAAAATGTAAACTTATTTATATCTTATTCATTTTGAGTGTATATTAGAAAAAATAATGCAAAAACGCTTTAAACTTTTTACAACTATGGGGAATACCAGTAAACAAAATTATTAGTAAAAAATTATTAAATTTACTACAAATTAATAGTAAATTTTAACCTAAAATCGTATTTTTGTTGAAAAAAGGTTCACTTTTTCTGTGAAGAAAACTTGACGACTTTTTCTGTTATTATTTTCAAGTTTAATATTTTTATCTTTTTATATCAAAAATTTGTGTATAGTATAATAAACTATACATTATAAGTCTTTCTAAAAACAGGGTTTTAAAATAAGAAAACGTATCAAATGAAATTCTGATAAAAAGTTATTTGTTGAAAAACAAGGGATACGTCATTCTTTGAAAATTACAAAAGTAATTATTATAATTTAGTTTATATTGTAAATGTTTCGATGTTTTGTAACTATCGTGTAAAAAAGTTGACATTTTATTGAATTTTAATATATGTAACAAACAATTAAATATTATGATATTAGTTGTGCAACCACACTGATTATTAGCGTTCTCACTTTATGAACTTTTGTTGAGAATCATATGTATACGAGATATATTTACGAAATTTTTCTTCTTAACTATTGTTTTAAAAAATTCGTTTTCATTACACAAAATAAACCAAATGTATATAAATAACATTACTACCTTTTTCATATTTTAAAGAAAGAAATTTTATACACATTACTCTAAATTATTATAAAATATATTTTATAACTAATATGTATAACACAACTGTGTTAGACTTTTAATTTATATAATATACAAAAAATAAAACGTGCAAACTTTTTATATATTATAAATGTTACATCAAACGTGAACTGAAAAATACAATATTAAAAATAAATACTGTTTTATTTAGAATAACTTTTAGTTTACTGATTTAAGTTTATCTTCATTTGTATGCGTGTTATAACAAGCATATTTCTGGTATTGGAAGGGTTAAATAAAATTTCAGTTTTTTAAAGTTTATATAATGTGCAGAACATCACACAAACAAAAAAGTAATATCTTTAAAAATCAAATTAACATCTCAGTAATAACAGGTCAATTATTTTAAATTGACTGTTATTATTAAAATAACACCCTTAAAAATCAAGGGTGGTATTTTAAGTGTTAATTCATTTAAAAATATCAAAAAATAAAATAATATTTTTAATAAAAAAGACAAGACTCAAAAATATATATAAAAACCATTGCAATATAACAACTGTAATATTACTGTTAATGCCAATAAAGTTGGAACCCTTCTTTTTATCTACTGTTGCACTCTATATTAAAGGCACAACACAATTTATGGTGTTTAGAAAAGTAAGTAAAAACGTCGAAGAAGCTCTTAAAATGCTACACATCAATCCATATGGTGTAGTCTCGTATTTACCATTTCTATTGATTTCTCTTCCGAATATCAATACGCTTTATCTCAATGCATTGAATGTCCAAAATGAGTTAAATAAACAACAATTACAGCAAATTACTTGGATTGACTCATCTGCCTCCATTTGTCATTTACTTAATATTAACAAAGAAATTTCTTTCAAAGTGACATCTCTGAGATTATCTGCAAAGGTGTCACTCTGCCAATATCTAAACAACTTCCCAAATCTTCGAAAGTTAATAATAGAAAACGCAGAGTATCTCAATACAATTAAAGTTTGGTATTTCAAATCACTTAAAGTTCTCAAAACACTTGTTTTGTACGTAGACTCTTTTTATTCGTATACAAACGACATTGAAGAGATGTTGGATGAATTAGAAAAGTTGTTAAAAGAGAATAAATATCTTACCATCACTATAGTGTCCAAGTCTACAAAATGTTTAAATAGAGTCTCGGATATCAACTTCTATAATTTTCCTGAACTTTTTGAACCACATGATCGTGTTTTAAACGTGAAAAAACAGGTTATAATAAACAATGATAAAATGAATCCAACAAATATAAACGAAATTGTTCAAAATAAAGAATTTACTTATGTGAGAGACTTGGAAGTGTCATGTCAGTCTTTTGATGGCGAAAATTTCGATGTTTCTAAAATGAGTTTAAAAACACTAAAAATAAATATAAAAAGCACAAAACTACTTTATGTATCAATTCCATCTATGTTGGAAAAGATTACTGTTTTAGCTCCAAATCAAAGTATCTGCATCCAAACAGAAATATTTAGATTTTCATTTATAGAGTGTGAATTTGATTGTAACATTGCCTTTTGTGACAAAAAGCGATATGTTGGGAAAACACAATTTTTCAATTTAAAGAACACCAAAAGTCTCAAATTGAAGTCCCAAAAATACTTTTACGAATTTGGCACTGAAATGAAACTACTTAAAGTTTTTAACATTTGCTGCCCTTTTAAACAGCTTGACTTTTCGTTTCACTCATTTGAACAAAGTTACAATTCCAAACAACAAACAATGCCTCTTTTTGTTGTGAAAGATGTTGGGTGTTGTAGAAAGTTGATATTTGGATATAAAAGCGACACTAATATTTTGTATTATTCAAATTCGGCAGTTGATGTTTATGGCAAATGTTATAATCTCAAACTGATTGGGAAAATTGGGAAAATATATGACTACAATATTAAACAATTTGACATTGAAAACGTTGAAAGTCGCACCGAATTCATTTTAAAAAATACAGAAGAAAAGAAGTCTATAATTACCGAAAAGGCAGTGATTAAAAATAATGATAACATTTATTTACTTGTTTTTAAAACCAGTGAATACGAAAAAATTAAGAAAGACAATGAGTTGTTAAATTATTTAAAATCTAATTTGTTGTGTAACTGGCATTATGAAACAAAAATGTGCGACCACATTTTATTCCCAAATAGTAAAAAACTACTCAAAACAAGTCAAGTCTTACCTAACAGCGAATTTAAATGTAAAATTGAAAAGGATGAAATTGTTGTTTATGTTGATTTATTTAGAACGACAAAGTATCTTGACGATGTTCCAAGACTCAAAATACCATCAAAATCGAAAAAAGCAAAAAGAATTGAAAAAGCACCAAAAATAGACAGGTTTAAATATGAAGAATGGAGAGTTATACAAAATAAACCAAAAATGTGTGTTGGAATGTATAGAAGTGAAACGACAAATGAAATTAAAAACACCACAATATGTGACGTATTAGATGAATATTGGATTGAAAACGACTCTTTTGATACAGAAGAAAATGAGTTTGAAAGTACATAAACAGATATATTTAAATAATTTAATTGATATAAATAATTTGTATTTTTATAGTTATCTTTTTGTTTCACAAATATAAATATAAATTTCAATATTTTTGATCAATTAAACCATACAAAATATTAATAAACCAATTCCTTCTTTTTGACCTCCTTTTATCGTTCTAATAATTATAAATAATGAAATTATTTTACAAAGTATAATACATTACTGTATCAGAAAGTAAACGTCTCAACTAGTATATACAGTTATAAATGTAAACAGTACCATTATTATATTATATTATATTATATTATATTATATTATATTATATTATATTATATTATATTATATTATATTATATTATATTATATTATATTATATTATATTATATTATATTATATTATATTATATTATATTATATTATATTATATTATATTATATTATATTATATTATATTATATTATATTATATTATATTATATTATATTATATTATATTATATTATATTATATTATATTATATTATATTATATTATATTATATTATATTATATTATATTATATTATATTATATTATATTATATTATATTATATTATATTATATTATATTATATTATATTATATTATATTATATTATATTATATTATATTATATTATATTATATTATATTATATTATATTATATTATATTATATTATATTATATTATATTATATTATATTATATTATATTATATTATATTATATTATATTATATTATATTATATTATATTATATTATATTATATTATATTATATTATATTATATTATATTATATTATATTATATTATTATTTTAATTTATAAAATAAATTAGAAGTGGTTTAAATTATATTTTCTGTTTTTATTGCCGTGTAATTACAAAATTTGATCATATTATTTGTATTATAATTTTAATCAAATTGAAAATATTATTTTGTGGTTCAATGTCCACCGAACAATTTGATGTGATTACTAAATGTTGGAGTACAATTCCAACTGAGAGAATTGAAATTGAAAAAGTTGTCAACTTGATAAACGGCTTGATGAATAATTGAGTTTTAATTTGAGTCTATTCTTTTAACATTTAAATAAAATCACGTTTGAAAATATGAATTTGTTTATAAAAAGTATTACCATATTGTTTTTTTATTTTGTTTTATAATTTTTATTATTAAAAATTAAAATTAAATTTGTTTGTTTTAATACCTTAAAAAGTTGTGATTGTTTTTCGATTAAATTAAAAATAAAATCTGTTTTTGGAGACTGTTTTGTAATAAAACCAAGTGTAAAAAGACTCAATTATATCGAATCATTATTTTGTTTACTAAAGTGTGTGAATCAAAACATTTATTACCAATTGATATACACTTAATAATATATCAATTTAACTTAAACTACCACAACATTCAAAACAAGATTCACCCAATGAAACGAAACTTGAAGGTATAATAACACTGCTCAGACTGCTACATTGATAGAAAGATAGATCACCAATTTAAATCACTCCATATGGTATTACCACACTTTTTAGATTGGTGCATTTAAAAAACACCCACTAAGAATTTCATTAACACTTAAAAAATTTACAACACTTTCAATGTTACATTCATGAAAACAATTATAACCTTATGGTACGACACTTGGTGGTATTATAAGATTTTTTAATTTAAACAAATTTGAAAACAACAATTCTTGATAATTGTAAGACTTGATGGTATTGTCACATTGTTCAAACTTTTACAATTAAAAAACAATATTGACCCAATTCAGTAACACCAAATGGGATGTTTAAAGATTTTAT